GATCCCAGGACCCTGGGATCATGACCTGAGGAGAAGGCAAACGCTTAGCTTAACCGACTGAGCCACCCACGTGTCTTTCTTTGAAGTATTTTTATGCTCCCTGCATTGTCTCTGTTTTTTTGTGATTCCTTTTCTCTCCCTGATTTTTACATGTTGGAGGTTTTTTACTTTTTCATGTTAAAGTTTTCCCTCTGGTATCTGGTGATTTTTATCCATTCAGATTTTAAGAGTGAAGTCCTAAAAGCTGAGCAGAAGCCCGGAGTGTGTGTTTGAGTCTTGTTAATTGAAGGCTTTTCCTTTGGGGACCCCCAAATGTCAGTATCTGTGGCTCTTCTTTCTGGCATGGTTCATTTTTTTCTCCTGAGAAGTACCCTTTATTCTTTGCTAGAAGTAGAACTTGGTGGCAAAGTTCTATGTCTGAGCAGAAGAAGCAGAAAAAGCCTTATTTTCAGTTTCAGACTTAATTCCTCTTTTTTCAGTCAGATATCTCACTCACTCTGATCTATGCCTCGTGTTGCCACATCTAGAACTCCTTTGGTTTACTTTCTCTAGAGGTGACATTTCCCATTTCCTGCAGAGGTAAAAGCAGTAGCCTGATTATATCAGGTGGAGTGGGGACGTGGGGATCTGTCCACGTATTAAACAGCTTTTCAAACAAATCTCCCTTTTCAGCATTACACTCCTCCCACCTCCACTCTAACTTCCCTCTGCACTTTACTTACTTCTAGTTCGTGAGTCTTTCCAGGGCTCCTCAGGGTGACCTGCCTTGCTTCTCCTTGGTTTCTCCTTCTCTAACCACTTAGGTTTGACTTTCCTTGAGTCTGCTAAGTCCTTCACCACCCTCAATCCATTTTCAATTTTCAAGTATTGTGGTTTGGGGTGACTACCAGTTCAATAAAGATGGAACCTGTATTTTCTTTTTCCTTCTTGTTATTTTTGAGAGAACTGGTATGGGGAAGATCTCAGCTATCTTGAATTGAAAAGTCTCCACTGTTTTTATTTTTAGTTATTCAAGTGCCTTGAAGTCTTTACTGCCTTTGGGCTTTTGCGTATGGTGTTCTAGCTCTCTGAGACATTATTTTCCCCTCCTTCCTCTTCCCTCTTGGCCAATTCCAAGTCATCTTTTAGGTCCCCGCTTAAACATCATTCCTAGATGAGTCCCATCTGACCACCCAGACTAGGTTAGGCTCACTCCCTAGAATATATTCTCATAACACCTACCATGATTCTAATGAAGTATATATGTCTGCCTCCCCTGCTAGAAGGGGGCCATTTCTGTCTTGCTGACTGCTATATCCCCAGTGTGTAGTGCAATGCCTAGTTTAGTAGGGGATATATATAAAATATATAAATTTATTTTTTATTATTTATATTTAATATATATATTTTTTAAGTTTTTTTTTTAATTTGCCAGAGAGAGAGCATGAGCAGGGGCAGTAGCAGGCAGAGGGGGAAGCAGGCTCCCCGCCGAGCAGGGAGCCCGATGAGGGGCTTGATCCCAGGACCCTGGGATCATGACCTGAGCTGAAGGCAGATGCTTAACTGACTGAGCCACCCAGGTGTCCCTAAATATGTGTTTTTCATTGTTGATCAACATATATTACTCATTATAAAGATTTGTAGTTAGGGGCACCAGGCTGGCTCAGTCTGTAGAGCATGCGACTCTTGGTCTTGGAGTTTTGAGTTCAGTCAAGCCGCATGTTGACTGTAGAGATTACTTAAAAAAAAGTAGTTGGATTTACAGTTGCTACCACCAATAAGTAGTTATTTAGAGTTTCATGATCTTAGTTGTTATGATTGTCTAATTATTATTATAGAAACACTATCAAATGGACTCTTGTCCATCTCCAATTTACATGAACACTTTTAAAATTATAATATACTGATAGTAATATGTACTCAGATCAGCATAGTGTATAAATTTTCTATTTCTGCTGCTATAAATTACCAGAGACTGAGTGACAAAAACAATACAAATTTATTATCTTATAGTTCTGGAGGTCTGAAGTCTAAAATGGGTTGGTAAGATTGCCTTCCTTCTGGAAGCTTGAAGAGAGAATCCGTTTCCTTGCTTCCAGTTTTTTTAGCTTCCAGAGGCTGCCTGTATTTCTTGGTTCATAGAATCTTTCTCATATCACTCTGACCTCTGCTTCCATTGTCATACCTCCTTTGCTGACTCTGACCTTTCTGCCTCCCTCTTATAAAGACCCATATGATTGATTAAGTTGTGCCCAGATAACTCAGGATGATTAGATATTTCTCAACAGCTTTAACTTAACCACATCAGCAAAACACATTTTGCTACATAAGGTAAAATATCCACAGGTTCTGGGGGTTAGGATGTGAACATCTTTGGGGGACCATTATTCAGCCTACCACACATAGACAGCAAAATGTAAATCCATACACGAATTAGTTTCTTCAAGAAATGATAAAAACTCACTCATATATACTTTAAACTTTGTATCAGAACAACTTCCAAAGTAGATAACATAATTTATTAAGTGAAAAATATCATAAATATATACTGAAATAATAATACAATAAGCCAATGATTATTAAATAGACAACATACATCATCAGCTCAGTAGCTGCCTCACTTCCATGTGCATATCCATTATCATGCTTTCATGAATCCTGGGATTTGCTCTGGTAGGCACACCATTTCCTAAAGGCAATTATCTAATTATACAAACAACTATGTAAAAGAGCATAGTGCTTTTCTTACATATATTTAAAAATAAATTTTAGATGGAAAAATATAATTAGCATTGATTATTTTTCAATAAATACCTCTTAACATCCTGCAGAATTGTTTGGGAAAAATTATAATAAAAACCTATTTTGGGGATGCCTGGGTGGCTCAGTCGGTTAAGTGTATGCTTTCGGCTCAAGTCACGATCCCAGGGTCCTGGGATTGAGCCCCCACATGGGGCTCCCTGCTCAGCGGGGAGTCGGCTTCTCCCTCTCCCACTCCCCTTGCTTGTGTTCCCTCTCTCGCTGTGTCTCTCTCTGTCAAATAAATAAATAAAAAATATTAAAAAAACCCCAAAACACCTATTTGGGGAAAACCAATTCCAACATTCTCGATTGTTTATTTTGGAAGACCATGGTTAGATATTTTATTCTCAGTTATCTAGCAATGTCATGTGAATACATAGTACAAAGTGACAATTTCACAATGGGCTGATGGGTAAGACTATCAGCTGGCTCTTTCAGATAAGAACCTCACTCTGGGGGTGCCTGGGTGGCTCAGTTGGTTAAGCATCTGCCTTCAGCTCAGGTTGTGATCCCAGAGTCCTGGGATCGAGCCCCATTTTTGGCTGTCTGCTAGGCAGGGAGCCTACTTCTCCCTCTCCCGCTGCCCCTCCTGCCCCATGCTCTCTATTTTTCTCAAATAAAAAAATAAAATCTTTAAAAAAAAGAACCTCATTCTGTAACTGTGTCTCAACTGTCGACTTTGACTAATTTAGTAATGTAATAATTCTATCCAGGGCCAGTTTGTCTGTGATGCATTAGCTGGAGAGCATGTCCTTTTTCCAAAGGAAAGTTTACTTGAGAAATCAAATTAGGATCAGAAGGTTGTCTGATGCATATAGTTAAAATGTCAAGCTGTTAAGATAGGTGAAGGGGATTAAGAAGCACAAACTTTCAGTTATAAAATAAAGAAGTCACAGGATTAAAAAAGAACTGTCAAGCTGTGCAAGGTGCCAAAAATGTCCAGACACCCACAACCCTTCAACCCACAGCTCCCTCTTCCCTAATCTGGCCCAGATTATAAAAATCAAAATATTCAAGTAGCATTCTGCTCTGGAAAATGTAGTGACTTTGAAAAATAATGAGGCAGAATTCTACTTGCTAATTCCCACCCCCTTTTGGTTTGCATAGCTCAGATAACTGCTTATTGCTTCTCTCAGTCATTTTGTTTTAGTTCTTGCTTCTTTGTCTAAAGCTGCAATGCAGCCACTAGCCACATGTAGCTACTGAGCACCGGAAATGTGGCTAGTCCAAACTGAGATGTGTTGTAAGTGTAAAATACATACTGGATTTTGAAGACGTACATTAACAAGAATGTAAGATATTTCATTAATAATTTTTTATATTGATTACCTGTTGGAATGATAATATTTGGATTTCTTTTGGGATATGTTTGGGTAAATAAAACATATCATTAAAATTAATTTTACATGTTTCTTTTTACTTGTTTAGTGTAGTTGTTAGAAACCTTAAAATTACATATGTGATTCACATATTTTTATTGGATAGCATTGATCTAAGGCTCCTGAAGACCTCTCCTGTTACTTTCTTTAGTTGTTCTTTATTGTCTGACTTCTCCTAACCATTCCTTCCCTTTCCATTAACTGCTTAGATTTAGAAGGTAAACTAGAGAGTGCAACTGTGGCCAACCTTTAAGTCAAGAGAATTAAGTGCACAGGGAAACAACGAAAGTCTTAGTTCAATTCTTCAATGTATTGGTTTAGTGCTGCAGTATTAGAAAAAAGGGGTGGGGTGGGAGAATAGTCTTCATTAGAGTCTGTAGAGATGGACTATGTGTATATGGAGAATTAAAGAGAGAATACAAAATCATATACACGCAAGGAAGTAGGACCAAAAATTATTTCATACTCAACCCTCCCCATCTCTAGGTTTTTAATCTATTTTCTTTTGGCTATGCTAATTCTTCTGTGTTTTTCTATGCATACTTATTTAGACTGCTCTCTTAGTAGAATGCGGCTATTGAAAAGATGAAGAAAAACTGCCTGGAGATGAGGATGTGGGGTGGTGTTGCAGATCTAAAGACCAACAATATAGAAAGATGTTTATCTAAGTTGAAAAAGAACCTAATTACCCTGTTCCATTTTCCACTCAAAACCATAACCCTTAGATATATATAATAAAGGCTGCTTTTGTATTGTTAGAACACCAATATTCATCAAACACACTGAATATATACTGATGGGGAAATTCTCTGAAGATGTATTTTTCAACAGGGAAAACACATGAAGAAAAAACATGATACCATTGTTTGTGAACCTAAAGAACTTCTGAATCCCTCTCCCAAAGTAACAAATTGTTGCAAATCCCTGTGGGTGAAATACAGTTTTCAGAGGGAGTACATGACCCGACTTGTCAGCTCGCAGCCAGTTTCAGCCATGTCAAGGAACCCAGGTAAGATATTATTTGTGTTAAGCTAAGATAAATATTCTACTTAGCATGTATTTTTCTTGGTATCGAGGACATAAAATTGGGCCTTAAATAGATTATTTAAACATTAACTGTAAGAAGATAGTGGTAAATCTATTCATCAATGTTCTGAGGTGGTAAAAATCTAAAACTGGCTTTGCCTCATAAATCTCTTAGTGTCTGTTAGCTCTGAATTGTTGATGTGACAACTCATGAAGATGATCCCAGATTAACTAAAATAGATCAAATTTGTCTTTTAATACAGATTTGTCTTTAACTTGACCTGACAATGTCTACATTGTTAAGTGGAGAAAATTCAGTTTAGGTTCCTCTTTGATTTTGCCAATATGGGAAAGAACATGAAGGAAATACAAACTTCAATTTTTGTTTTGCAAACATTTGCATGATTCCTAAATGCCCCTGAATGTTGGGAAAACATTTTTTTTTAAAGAGTTTATTTATTTATTTATTTGAGAGAGAGAATGAGAGAGAGAGAGCATGAGAGCGGGGAGGGTCAGGGGGAGAAGCAGACTCCCTGCTGAGCAGCGAGCCCAATGCGGGACTCAATCCCGGGACTCCAGGATCATGACCTGAGCCGAAGGCAGTCGCTTAACCAACTGAGCCACCCAGGCGCCCCTGAATGTTGGAAAATTAAAGACTCGTGTTTTGAAGGGCATTAGGGTATTGGGGTTAAAGGAGTTAAATTTATGGGGATTTAGACTTTTAGATTAAGAATATGCTAGATACCTGAAAGGAATAATTAAAGCTAATCTCAGACTGTTCTCCAGTTTTGAAGGAATTACATGCCACTGAGAAAGTGGAAATTTCAGGCATCCTGATAGTCTCTTGCCACATATCAAATAAGATACCTGTTTTCCAGAAATAACTGAATTGACTAAAATACCGAATTTTGATCTGTGCAGGTGTCAACAATGATTTCTCAAAGCCTGAGATTTTTGTCACCTATGAATACCTCCTAGGACATATATTTTGTTTTTTAAATTGAGATGTGATCCGTACACCATAAAGTTCAACCTTTTAAAGGGCAAAATCCAAAGGTTTTTAGCATATTCATAAAGTCGTGCGATCGTTATCACTATTCTGGAACTTCTGTTTTATTGTAAACTTTTTCCAGTTGTTTCCACACTCAGCTATTACCATTTGAGCCTCACAGAGTCCTCCTCAAGCACCTTCTGAGGTGCCCTTTGAGCGGTCGCCACATTTAAACCAAATTAGTTTCACTTCAAAAGCAGAAGCAGGGTGAAGAATAAAGCTCCTACGTTTGAGTTATAGAGTAACAGCCAACAACCTAATTTACGCTTGTTTTCCCGCCTAAAACTCTCGTTTTACTCTGTATGTAAAATCTTATTTGTGACGGGTGTTTCAGTCCGGTGGGCCACCGGCGTGCGTTCAGGCACCGCCAAACAATTAGAAACAAGGGATCCGTCAGTGCGAGGTGGTGGCAGACACCAGCCTCCTACCGCCCTCCCGTTCTTTTCCCCGCGCAGGAGGGGGCGGCGCGTTTCTCCCCTCATATTTTAGGGCATTTAGAGGTGTGCAGACTGAACGCGGCGGTGCGAGAGGCCCTGGAGGTGTCAGAACGGCGTCAAGAACGCCAAGCCGCAGGGTAACGGGAGGCGCCGAGCAGTGGGCTGGGGTGCCCGGGCTCCCGAGCTGCTTCTCGCTTCAGAGGCTAGGAGCGAGCCCGGCGCGTCACCGCCCGCGCGGGAGACCGCTCTGGCCGCCGGAAGCGCCGTGTGCGCCCCTCATTGGCCACGGCGGGCCCACGTGACCTCTGCCGCCAAAACCGCGGGGCGGAGCGCGCGCCTTCCCGCCGGAGAGGCGGCCGGTGCGGCACGGCGGCTTGCAGGTCCCGCGAAGGTCGCGGGCGGTCGCTCGGAGGACCTGCGGATGCTCTCTGGCTGGGAACCTTCAAGAAAAAAAGGAAGGGAAAAAAAAAAAAAGGGACGCCTGGGTGGCTCAGTCGATTAAGCGACTGCCTTCAGCTCAGGTCATGATCCCAGGGTCCTGGGTTCGAGCCCCGCATGGGGCTCCCTGCTCAGTGTGGAGCCTGCTTCTCCCTCTGCCCCTTCCCCTGCTTGTGTGTGCTGAACTCCTATTGAGGAAGCTGATTACTGAGAGGTCCCCTTATCCCCTCTTTGGCTTTTGGACACAGATTGAAAATGGAAATCACCAGTCATTATTCAGTGACTCGCTGAAACCAAAATGTGTCTCAGTTCCTTTGGGGAAAGAGACACGTTTGAACGTATAACTCTTTGGAGAAAGAAAACATAATTTTTGTAAGGGGAACTTGAAGCCGCCTTTTCTTAGAAAAGTTGAGGGGATGCGTAGGATCTTGGGAAGTCCAGAGAAACCATCCTGATACGTCGTTTAAGGGAAATTAGAAACTCCTGGGAAAACAAAATTTAGAGCCAAAAGAGGGCTTTTCCACTTCTAGAAATGTAATAATTACTGGCAGGAAAGGGCAGAATTATGTATATGTGTGTGTGTGTATATGTATGCATGTAGGTGTATAAGTAGTTTAAATGGGGTATATTGATTGTAGAAGTCAGTAGAGAGTCCAGTTATTCAGCCTCTTTCTCCCTTTGAGAGTGCTTGGATGCTCATTTTTGCCTCTCTTTTCTTCTAAGTCTCATCAACTCTCCCCCTCTTCCTCTAGATGGACATATTTTTTACTCATTCAAAAAACAAAAAAACGAGGGCCTACTAAATTCCAAACACTGTGCAAGATACTGAGGTGACAGTGGTGAGCAAAAACATTAACAGTCCCTTCCGACCTGAAGCATAGGGTCTGGTAAAGGAGGCAGATAGTAGTCGATTAAACATACTAATGTTAAATATAATGTGGTAAGTGCTAAGAAGAGGTCCAGATGTTATAATGGGGCTTTGACCTAGCAGGGAGGTTAGAGAAGGCTTCCCTCAAGATGTAACCCTGGACTGAGACCTGAAGGAGTTAATGACAGTGGGAGTTGCAGGCAGAGGGAGCCCACTGGGCAAGGGAGAGCTGGTAGCCTCTCCCTCTTCCAATGACTGCCCATTTCACTCATTTCCACTACACATAAATTAATCTTGCCTCTAGTTATCAAAGACACTTCTTTTTTCTTTCAGTTGTTAAGTTCTTAGGGAGTAACTCATAACTAATAATTAATGTTATCGACAACGTATGTACAATAGGTAAGTATGCAATATATACATCTAATATACATTATCATCTCTTGTTTTATATAATAAAAGCATGCAAAGATTTTTTTTTTTAGGATTCCATTTATTTGAGAGAGAGAAAGCGAGAGACAGAGCACAAGCAGAGGGGGAGGAGCAGAGAGAGAGGAAGAAGCAGACTCCCGGATGAGCAAGGAGCCCACAATAGGGCTCAATTCCAGGACCCCGGGATCATGACCTGAGCTGAAGGGTGACTGAGCCACCCAGGCGTCCCAAAACATTCAATGATTATAACAAAATTTAGAGTATGATGTATCTCAATAGAACTAAAAGCACTATAGATATTCACAGTAGTGAGCGATCACATTATTTTGGAAGATTCAAAAAAGCCATATTGAGAAAGTAATTTTTGAGATGTGATTCAAAGGTAAAATTTGGTCAAACAGAGTAAGAAGGATGGACAGAGAAGTCGAGATATATTCTAAGAGCCTTGGAAAGCACTCCAAAGAGTTTATAGAAACTAAATAGAAATGTTTTATTTCACTTTTAAGGACTTTCCTGAGGTGTTTTTTTTCTTTTCTAACGTTTACCTTGGAAAATTTAAAATCTACAAAAAAGTTGCACACATAAGACTATGGTTAGTCATATACCCTTTGCATGAATTTACCATTTTTTGGTGGAGGGGGCACATTTGCTTTATCTTTTTATCTCTCTCTCTCTCTACATTCATATACACACATACTCACGAATGCAAGTACAGATGTTTTTCTTTGCTACAAAGGAAGTTATAAGATAAAGCTGTAGATCTACTAACTTCATCTCCAAATAATTCCATCTCTAAATAATTTGTCTCCTAAGAACAAAGATTTTTCTGTATAACCACAATACAATATGAGACTCATGAGATACATTTTTTATTTTTATTTTTTAAAGATTTTATTTATTTATTTGACAGAGAGACACAGTGAGAGAGGGAACACAAGCAGTGGGAGTGGGAGAGAGAGAAGCAGGCTTCCCGCTGAGCAGGGAGCCCGATGTGGGGATCGATCCCAGGATCCTGGGATCATGACCTGAGCCGAAGGCAGACACTTAACGACTGAGCCACCCAGGCACCCCTCAAAATTTAATTTAAAAAGTATCTCATGAGTGGGGCGCCTGGGTGGCTCAGTCGTTCGTTAAGTGTCTGCCTTTGGCTCAGGTCATGATCCCAGGTCCTGGGATCAAGCCCCACATCGGGCTCCCTGCTCAGCGGGAAGCCTGCTTCTCCCTCTCCCACTCCCCCTGCTTGTGTTCCCTCTCTCGCTGTGTCTCTCTGTCAAATAAATAAATGAAATCTAAAAAAAAAAAAAATTAATTAAATTTTGAGTATTTATGTTACATTAATAATAAATGAATTACTGATTTTAAATGGCTTGCAACAGTGACTGAGGCATTAAGTGCTGTATAAGTGTTTGCTTATAAAAACACATTTTCATGGGTAAACTAAAGAATATGAAAATTTTGGCATATGGTGAAAAGTCTTGCATTTTTGTTCCCCGTCTCTTCAGTTCCCACTCTGAAGACTCCTTATTATAGGCAAACATTGTTCTTGATTTTTGGGCATTCTTTATGTAAATAAGAACAATCATGAATATAGATTTTTATACCCCCTCCCTTTTTAGAGAAAAGGTAGCATACAACGCACACTGTCCTTGTTTTTTCAGTTAACAATATGATTTGTAGATCTTTCTGCATTAATACTTGCAGAGTGTCATTCTTATTTACAATGGCATAATATTCCATTGTGTGAATATAACAATTTATTT